ATGCTGACTCAGAGCTCAAAGATAGCCACTATTTTTTTTCTCGTTGAGCATCCCTGCGTAGAGCAAGAAAGCTATTTTTACCTGAACCTTTCTAGCATTATTCCTGACAGGAAAAAATAAACCCTGTGTGCTTGAAGTCAAAACCAAAAGAAGGGATTTTTTTCTTGGAGGTGCCTGACATCCTCTCAACCTTCCGGTAACTGAGGAAACTCAGGCTCCGCGTGTGCCTCGGTCAATGCCTCTCTTCCATCGTGGTTATATGATGTGGATGACCCGCTGGCAGGAGAAGCCCCTCTCTGAGATACAAAGGGTTGATCAGTCCTTGTAAGAACAGAACAAGTGAGATGGAGGCAACTCTGTGTTTGGAATCAAGGGAAAGTGGAAAGCTGATGGGTCAGAGCCGTTTCAGGGAACAGTTGTAGAGTCAAGCTGGTAAATGGTTTGTTTGAAGTGAAAGAGGAGAAAAATAAGAGCGATAAAGTCTAGTTCCAGTAGGCAGGAGCTTTTTGTGACTTAAATATAAAGTCTACAGTTTCTCCCTCTCCCCTCGTCTCCTTTGCTTCCACTGTCGGGGGGTTTACTTTTCCACTGGGTACGCAGACAGCTCTTGCCGAGGGGAAAGCGTGGGCTGAACGGCAGCTCCCTGGCCATAATCCCCGACAGAGGACTGAAGCTACAGTACATGAAGTAGGCAACAGAGGCTGGGGAGGATGCTTTCCTTTTTCCTCCTCTGGTGGGTGTTTGGGTGGGAAGTGTAAGATTTTTATATGTGGTTTGTTGTTTTTTTTTTTTACCCTGCACATTTTTGTAATTCCAGCCATGTACAGAAAAAGCTGGGCAGTGCTGGCTGCGAAGGTGCTTGTGCACCTGTACGGGGTGGGACAGGCATTCAGAGGCAGAAATAGACACCAAGCCATCCTGTTTGGGCAATTATACTCTTCCTGCAATCTCACCGCAGTCGGCATTTCAGCGGCTAAACCACAAAGGGAGGTATAAAGACAAATGGGATCTCCTTTTGAAAATACCTGTACTTAAAAGAACCTCCCTCCTGGGATGGCATTCATTATGTGTCTGTTTATTCATCCTTTGCTCACACGCTAATTTGCTCTTGCAGAAATGTATCTCAGCTCCACCCAGTGCTGGGGCTGAGCCACTTCTGCTGGCACTGTTGGAGATCATTTACCAAGAGAAATTAGCTGTACGGCATACATAATGGCAAGTGCCATAGCTATACCTGCCCACAGCTGCTCCGAACGCGACCACTACCTTTTCAGTAGCTCATCCCAAATCCCAGTGGATTTCTAACTTTGCCCTGGCTTGCGCCGTACATCTCTTCATGAGTTGGTAAGGTGCTGAGATGGCTTTCAGTGTAAGTGGGAAGAGGAGCTGCTGATTGGGAAGAGGCAAATGAAACGCCAGCCTCCCTCACGGCACTCTCCTAATACAAAAGATTTGCGGCAGTGGGTTGAGCCGAAGCAGCGGCTGCTGTGGTGTCACGTCGGTATTAATTGGGGAGTGCAAGGAGCAGAAAATGCTGTGGAAGAGGGGAGAGGAGCCAGATTGGAAGAGACTGGCACAAGTGCCAGGCTCCTTTGCTGGGATGCACCCCTCTGCCTTGTGCTGTGGCCATCTTTCTCTACAAATTAATTACGTTCCTGCTGCCCTTCTCTCCAGCTGAACGTGCTGGCCACTTTCTGTCTTCTGGTTAAGATCTCTCCTTCGTGGTGTTTAGTTGTCTCAGAACCTCAGCTCCTGATCTAGTGTCACTCATGTTTCCATCCCACCTGGTAATGTGCCCTAGATTCATTCTGCCAACCCAGCCTGTTGTTCAGGAGTCTGGTCTGTCATTTGCAGGAGTAATTGCAAAAATTGATTCATGGGCAATGCCTGTAACAGGCAGATCCTTTTGACAGACCACATAGCCATCATATTCTGCATTTATTTGAGTCAATCAATGCTCTGATGCATATTTGGGTCATAAATACTCTGATATAAATTGCATTTACTATTATGACAGCTGTATTCCATTACCTATTATTTATTAGGTTCTGTTGTCCTTTCATTTTACACCTTGTGGAGCTGTCAAGTCAGCTGCTTACCGGTGACAAAGCTCACAGCTCAGTTTAGAATCTTCCAAAAATAAATTCTCTGAAGGGATTTGAGTAACAGCAGGATGTATGTTGTTGGAAAGGCATTGGACGATCTTTTTTTCAGTTTGTTTTATTGGAAAGAGGACGTTTGTGCTTTTCGCTTGCTTTTGCCTAAATTCCAGAATTAGACTTTGCATTTATGATCTAGAGGTCATTGAAGCTAATAATCCCACTGATTAATGTGAATTTTGTATCACACTCTGCCTGTCTCAAAGTTGAATTAATCAGGTTATTCAATATTTGAAATGGTGGGATGCTGACTTGGATGTTTCTAATTTTCCGTTGGAAGCTTTTTTAGCTTCATGTCTTTTTACATCGTAAAAACGGCAGAATGTCTGGTTCTGAGATGAATGAATTTCAGTGTCCTTCCAAGGGGAAGGTCAAATTGCAATGGGCATAGTGCTCTGTGCGAGTCATTTTCTGTTTCTCATTCCCAATAAACGGTCACATATCCTTTGTGCCAGGTTGCCGCACCAGCTTTGCAAGGTACCGAGCACTTTGGTGTTAATTCAGGAAAGCACTTAATCATGGAATTGATGACTCTAAAGTGCTTAATATAAGCATGTGCTTAAGTGCCTTGTTGGACTGGGGCCAGCGCAGATGTACCCTTGCAGAGTATCGAGATTTGTAAGCCACTTCTGGTCTACTAGAGCCAAGTTCACTGGAGATCAAGGGTTTCAGGGATGTGCTGCAGGGGTGGGTGAGCATGGCAAAATGCCCCTGCGTGGGAAAGGGAGCGTTTACCCAGACAGTCCCTGTCCTGCACCTAAGCAGGGAACCGAGGTCAGCAGAACGATGGGGCTCTTGGGCTGTGCCAAGCATTGCATGGACCAGCTGAGGAGGAGGTGGGAGCCTGTGTGAGCAGAGACATGCAACAGAGACATGCTGGAGACGTGCACCAGCCCTGCCTGGCAAAGCTGGGCTTTGCACCGGGAGCGGGTGTGCTACAGGGAAGGGGCAGCAGCGCTGCCTGCCATTCCCAAAAGGTTATCAGCCCCCCAAGACTCACGTGGGGCCCCGTTCCCTGGGGATGGAGAGCTAAACTGGGGTTCAGACTAGTTCTGTAGTTTCTCTATAAAACACAAGAGATGAAAACACTGCGTAAGTGCTCCGAGTTTTATTCAACAAGTTTTGTTTGCACAAGGGTTTTGGGATAAACGCAGGGACTGAGCGTTGTCTATTGATAGGGTTTATGTGCTAGCTTTACAGCAAGAGTGTTCATAGCATTACTATTGAAATATGTGCGATACAGTGTTGCGTGTGCATCTTTTCATGTCTTAACATTTCTGTATTATCTCCATTTATTTTACTCTGAATGTAAAAGAAGTAAATCTGTAATTCCAATCAAATATCACAGTGCGAAATTGATATACACACAATCATATGGCTCACAAAATATAGATGCAAATGGATATGTATTATTTATAAAGCAGCTTTGACATCTTTATATACTAAAAAAGAAGAGGCGTGTAGATCATTTCATAGTTCAGCATTCTGCACATTTTTGAGCTATCATACATCATCATCCATGAAAAATTCATGGGTCTTAACCACTTTAATTTTATGCGTGCATTCCAACCAAAGGGGTGTGTGTCCTCTGCTCTTGCCTTTTTTTTTCCCCCTATTCTATCCTCCCACCCCTTTTTATACAATTAAAAGTAGATGGCTGGGGTTGGACAATGCCAAAAGCTCACCCTGCCTTCCAAGAACTACCGATAATTAATGAGAGTCATAACTCTGTGACTACAGAGGGATCTCCAGCTGTTCTAGTGTCCTACCCAAAGCCTTCTGGGTTTGCTGAACCCAAGACAGTCAGTGAAAGTCAAAAAGGTCATACGACACAGCAGTAAAATCAATGTAGTTGCTGTCATCTAAATCTCTAATGTGGACAGACAAAGCCAGGTATAAATCAGCTTAAAACCTGGCAATTTCTGCCGAGTTCCAAGTTAATCGTGAATATGGGGTGTGTGCCTCATTTCGGGTGTTTTCTGCGGTGTCGCTGGCCAGATTGATTTGACCTACGGTGGAGGAGTGATCTCTGACGTTGAGGAGATTTTGCAGAGGTTATTCTATCAAGAACCTCAGTCCTACATGACAGAAGGTCTTGGGTTAATGCTTTGGGTTTTTTTGAGGGGAAGCAAAGGAGAAAGGTGAACTTGTCATCTTTCAGATGAGGACCTTCCTGGTCTGTTAGGGCTTTGTAGGTTAAACCTCTTTCTTTTAGTGAAACCGTTGCTCAGCGATGGGTTTAAATACAAGTTCAGTGCTGGTGAAAGGACATAATGAGGAGAAGGGAGTTTTCTGTCTAACTACAGGGCTGGTGCCAGTAGGATGATAGCAGCGTTTACTGGTTTTCCTCACTGTTTCATGGGTGCCTTAAAGTACTGCCAGGAAGGATGAAAGAACTCCAGTTTCTGTGGCCTATTTCTCTCTGGTCTCTTGCTGCCAGAGCCACCAAGGAGCCCTTGGCTTGCTTTCTGTTTGCCTGAAACTCCTTCCAACCTCCACTTCACCTTCTCAGTGACATTTAGGCAGAAGCTCTTAATTTATTCCGTCCTGGTTTTGCCCATCCGTGGATTCTGAGCTCACAGCAAACTGTGAGGGGCTGGTGCTTTCAAATGTAATGCGCATTCGCTGGTCTGAAGTTTCTCCGGGAATGAAAAATCTCTTTGATTAAGGAAACACTGACTTCTGAAAGCCTATCAGACTGCGCAACTTTGTAAGGCAGGGCTGCAGAATGTCTAATTAATTGGAACTGCTCTCTAGAGGATTTAGCTGGCAGAAAATTAGTTTTCATGTTCTTGGCCTGATGTTTATTAAATGTTTCTTTCCTTTTTCTCTCCTTTGCAGTTTTCATCTGTAGTTTCATGGTTGCGGCACCTATCTTTGGTTACCTTGGTGATCGTTTCAACAGAAAGATCATTCTCAGCTGTGGGATCTTCTTTTGGTCAGCTGTCACTTTTTCAAGCTCCTTCATCACTGAACAGGTAAGATTTCCGCAAAGGAGCTTTGCAGGGTGTCCTGAAAAGATGGACAATGTGTTCCTAAAAAACTCCTCTCCCCATCACAGTGTGCTCAAGGGGAATGTATCCCTCTCGTGTGTATTTAACCTATAGCATCTTGTGTTATCTGACCTTTTGCGGGTGAAGTGTGATCTGTGTAACTGTGTTTTCTTAACTGTGAAAGTTGTTATTCTTTGATCTTGCACATTCATGAAAAATAACAGGTGAGGCATATCTAAGCAAGAGTTTCTGTTGACATAAGGGCTTTGTTTTGAGCGAGATCCTAAAGACACTTTTAAAAGGCTTTTAAAAAGACTTGGAAAAAAAAAATCTGTGGCTGTATAGTGGTTCTCTTCTGATATATGAGAAGCCATTGGAGTTTGTTGGGAAGTCTGCTTGTGGTACATGGAATGACGAAATGCATCCAGCAGTGGTTTTATGCATGCGCTTTGTTTCTTGTCCGACAAAGGCAGTGAAGGTGGATGATAGCATAGAGATTAGACATAGTTTCAGCTCCTTCATCGCTAGTTGATGGATATGTCTGGGGAACTGATGATGGAGTTGTCAGGCTCACTTAATTTTGTCAAGCTATGCACAGCATCCCTCACCTGCCTTCAGGACAGCCACAGTACCCCATTTTGAGGACTCCTTGTTGCATTAATTTTCTTGCCTGTCAGAGGCACTTGGAGGAAACAATGATCTGGCAGTTTCTGGTGAAAAATACCCTCTTGTTTAAATCATATTATAGAGGAGGTTTAATTGCTGCAGGTGGCAACATTCCTGGAGAGACAAATCACAGCTCCTGGCATCATCAGACTTGATTTCCCCTTGGGTTTTTCTTTCTGTCCAGCTGCGTTCCAGAGATTGCAGCATCGTGGTCACGCCTAAAGAATGACAACCAGGGACTAAACCCCTCCGCCCTGCTCCCTCCTGCCCACCCACATGCTCCACAGTTTCTAATAAAAGAGAATTTCCACCTAAAGCGGGCAGTGGCAGTCACATGTCTGTCCGGCTTTCATGTTGGATTGCTTGCTGCTGCATTTCTGAAGAAAAATGCATATGGCCAAATGTAGAAGTCTTTAATTCAGTAAATTGTTCTGGTTTATAATTGGCCAGGAAGCATGCTTTCCAGAGAAAGAACATCTCCCATCTAAAACGAAGAGGCTTTTTTGGTTTTCTTTTTTTTTAAACTCATAACATCCTGCAAAGGCAGCTGTGATCAGAGCCCAAAGAGGGAAGCATTTTATGAAGGAACCAATAACCTGCCTATAAACACTTCTCATGTTATAAACACACATTCATGCTCAGGTTCTCATCGATCTCTCTGCAATGCACCTAGTCCTGTAGTTGCAAGTAGTGGAGCACTGGAACTGGACTGGTGTAATCTATGTTATCAGAGTTGATTTTCAGTTTAAGGATTTGGGGCTTATTACCTGAAGCAGTTCAGGGATTAATATATATGGTCATCAGTATACAGGAGCTCAGAGTGGAAGTGGCATATTGTTATCCAAAGAAAGGGACAATAATGTTTATAAAGCTGGATTATGTTTGGAATCCGAACCCCAATGTTTTGGAAGTCACAAAAGAGACAAGATCAAAATAACCAGATCTGTGTTAATTCCTCCTGGATTTTCATCAGTACTAAATCTGAACCCAAACTACAACGTTGGACAAAACCCACTCCAATACTGAGAAAAATCACCTGTCCTGATTTTACTGCAATCCTCAACTCTACCAGAAGACTTACCTATTAAGCCAGAGGTCTCATGCCCAGCCCTTATTATCGACTCCAGGAGGTTATGGAAAATTCTGCAGCTGCTGGATGGATGTGCTCTACCCAGTGGCTGAAGCAGTTGAGCAAGGTCATAAAAATAATCCCAACTTCACATAGTATCCCTGTCACTTTGGCATCCTTTTTTAAGGCCTGATCTCTGATTGGGAAGACATGCCACATTAAACAAGGTGAATTCCTGAAGTGCTAATGAGAAAAAGGGGTTAGAGAAGAGCTGATGCAGCTTTTTTTCTTCATGTAGTGACCAACTAGGCATTTTTCCTGATTTTTGTCTCCTAGGATTCAAGGAGCAAAACATTGGCTCTTCTCTCAACATTTTTTCTTGCTTACTTTTAAGACAGTATGTGTATTTATCAGGGAGGAAGGCTAGGAGCTGAAATATGAAAAACTCTTTGCTGCCACAAATAGAAGCAGTAGTAAGATTGCTGTAAGTAGAGAAGTACTCACATCCAAGTCAACATGAAAACACAGGGCTAGAAGGAGCAAGTTGGCACAGGCTGAGCCCATTGAAAAACCATACAGAAAACTCCTTTATGTGGCGACAGCAAAAGTACTGAACTAGGCCAGAAACAATAGCCATTCAGTAGAAAGAGCAAACTGTGTCTTCAGGGATTGCCTTCCTTCAAATTTTGACAGTGTCTAGTGCCTCATGCATGCTGTCACTGTGTAATTAAATAGAGTACTCATCCACATAGTTCAAATTTGGAGTGTAAATGGAAAGAGACAGCTTAACAAAGGCAGAAAGCAGCTACAGAGCTGCTGGGCTCTGAAGGCGCCCCATTTGTAAAGGTTTTTGGCAGTGTGTTGGTAAGACTAGTTTCTGGCTAAAATGTGGGCACTTAAAGGAAAACGATGAAATGCTATCATTTGTGTGAATATCTAGATTATTTGTAATTTATTGTGCAAACAAGTATACAGAAAAGGACATGTTAATTCTTATCTGTCCTGCTGTCAAGTTATTCAATAAAGAAATACCCATGTGGCAAGAAAAGGACGTGGAGTGAGAAACTACCTCAGAGAGATGGATTTTGATCTGGAAACAGGGATTGGAACACAATGAAACGGTTTATCTAAGATACGATCTAAATGCTATTTCACGCTGTTCGGGTTAAAAAGATAGTGACTGAAAATTGGCAGATAAAACAGGGAACTGGATATATATGCCATGCAGACACATAGTTGCTAGAGAGCACCACATTAAGGTTTGTAACCACTTATTAAAATATCCTTAGTTATTTATTACCAAATATCTTTGGGCTTTTAACATGGAATAATAGCCATCAAATAAATAAAGAATGAATCTCTCATCTGCTAGTAGCTACTACATAACTAAATAATAGGCCCTCACAAGGAGAAAAGAAAATCAGACCCAAGTTTAAGAATAGTTCCAGAGTATGTAGGAGGTAATAGTTAACAAAAAACAACAATGCATGAATTCCATGCATAGCAAAATAGAAACAGGACAGCTAGATACTTAAATTACATTTCAAACAAGTCACAATGAGAAACCCAAACAAATAGCATATCAGAGATTAATTCGATAAATACACCTAGTTTCATGGATAAAAGTAGCTAATGATAAATTTAACTAGAGAAAATAGTCAGAAGTAACAAGACTGAGATAATATCGAAAGGTCACTTCTATTCTGTCAAATAAGGTGATTTGATAATTTATATTAGTGCACAATTTCTCTATGGAAAAATAAGAAATGAGTCCTCTACTTTGGTCTTTGGTACTTGCACATTTCTGCTCTATAACACTGTTTAGCACTTCCTAAAATGTAAGTTGCATTAAAAAAATCATTAACAAACTTGTTCATTAATCTAAAATTAGTTAAAGTTGGTACATCTCTCTAGATTAACTCCATTTATAGAAACTTCAATAAAGTATGTGTATATCTTAATTTGTATTTTGTAAGTACAAACACCTGCTTAGAAATTACCTCCCTTTATGCATGCTTTTTAATCAGTTCTGCACCTGCGGCTACGCAAATTTTGGTACTTTCACCTGCAAAAGCTTTCCTTGTGTTGTTTTTGGCTTTTGGCAAGCATTTGGAAGAAACACTTGCTGGTTGTTGGTTCATGCTCCATAATAAACCAGCAAAAAATAAGTGAGCTGCTGTATAGAGTCACAATCACAAAGAAATGCACTGAGCACTCAATCTTCATGGAGTTTCTTCACCAAAATGCATTTCCATCAACACAAAAAGCTAAATATGTGTCCATCTTCCTCTGCGTCAATATAAACTCTGATTTAATAAGTAACCAATTTTTTCTCTAGATAGAGTTTTGGTGAGCGTAGTGCCTGATTACCTGTGTTGCGGCTGATCATCTTGAGCTGGTTTATATTCCAGGATGTCATTGGAAGGAGTCTGTAATCCCAGTTGCACCATTTCTCTCTTTCTGAACAGTTTCACGTGAAGCAACTTGTTTATCAGGAGTGATCAGGCCACGTGCTGAGAGTTTGTTTCTGGCTGCTTGGAGATCCACATCTGTTATAATAGTCATAATATCAGTTCTTACAACTGACTACTTTGGCCAGAAATTTGTCTTAGATGAGACTTTGCTTTTGGTGCTAGCCTTCCCACCCCTCTTAGCACAAACTTTTGAGAGATCAGGACTCCTCGGCTTCACGGGCAGACACCAGTATCTTAAAGCAAGAAAGAACTTGGAGGTGGAAAGTTGCCAGCTGTTCTCCAGTCTTGTGAAATCCTGGTATTTCCCATGTAAATATCTTGAATAAAGCATATTTCTGTGTAAAAGGGATGCTGTTTTGCAGATGAGCAAAGTATTCTGCTAAGTAGTTAGGCTCCACTAGGCTGGGAGACCAAGTCTACCTAATAATCAACCAGACCAGGCTGTGGTAGTGTGGGTTTGCTGGGAGACATTAGAGCTTCAGATGGTAGAAAGTTTGGAAATGGAAAAGCAAAGAATTAAGAAGGTAAAGCAGGAATGTGCTTTTGAATTCTCCAGTTCTTGGTAAATATTTCTGTTTAAATGTTGATATAACTAACACAATAAAACCTTTTTGCTCTCACTGCAAGTTAATCTGGATAGGTATTTCTACTAGTGGGTTTTTTTCTTTTCCTCTGCTCTTGATTTATCTCTGAGAAGGGAAGCAAATAGTCCACTGTGGAATTCCAGTTAGCCTGCAGTGCTTGCTAGAGTCGTCTTTCAGACTTGCCAGATGTGT